TCCCCTGGAACACACCAGAGCCCAGATTTGGCTGCTCAGCAGCATTTGCATTGAAAATCCCAACTTTGAAATGCAAAAAGTGCCTGGATGCCACAGAAGCCATTGCCACAAGGGAATTTACAGCAAAGCATGAATATTTATCAGAAAACATTGTGGTTTTCCCTCTGCTAGTGAATCTCAGGATAATTATTTTCTTTGCTCCTTCCTTTGGGGATGAGCAAGGGCAGCCCCAGCTCCTGCTGGAGGGGACATTTCTCACCATCTCACAGAAAAACTAGCTGAAATTCAGAAAACCATCCCAAAACTTGCTCCTCTGGCAGCATTTCTTTCCCTTTCAGCTCTTTTCTTTGCAGAGAGCCTGAAGTTTCTGAGTGCACTTGTTGCTTGGTGCACGAAAGGAAAGTTGGCAGCAACCTGGGCTATTGTCATGGCCCATTATGAAACCCAAGGATTTCAGTTACGCTTCCTCCACGCCGTCCTTATCGAGGTTTTGCATGTTTTTGGCATTTCTTCATGTGGTTGCAGGGGTGCAAAATACTGAAGGCACCAGGCACCTCACCCTGATGCCTCCAGCCCCCGTGTGAGGGTATTTTAATGGAGATGAATGTCTCCCAGCACAATTTATTTAGTAAGTTCCCTGTTATTTCTATTCACGGGTTGTCAGCCGAGGTTTGCTGAGGGGTTTGAGCTCATTTGTGGTGATGGTTGGTTGCTGGAGGCTTTGCAGCAGCATCTTGGGGTGCATCACTGTACCTGGGAACTCAAATATCAGATCCCACGCACGGGCTAGGGGCATGGTGAGGATGTGTCCACGTGGAGTTGCGTGATGGTAGGAGTGAAATCGGGTCAGAAATGTTTATTTGCAGCCTGTCCCCGTGGGGATGTGCTGCCACCCCAGAGCAGCCCCGGCCAAGCCCCGTGTGCCGTGCCCGCGACGGCCCCGCCGTGTTTGTGTCAGACACAAGTGCACCCTTGGCCAGCAGCCACTGAGCAGCAGCACAAGGGTGTTCAGCTTCCTCAAGCTGCCTGGCCATGGAGATAAGTGCTGGGGCAGGAAATGTCTCGCTCCGTGCTGGGATAGAGCGAATCCTGGCTCCCCGGCACGAGGGGGGCTGGGGTTGGGAGGGGAAGATCAGCACCCCAGCTCCTCACCAGTGGTGGGGATGTCCCTGGGGTTTGGCACGTGCTTTCCTGTGAGATCCCTTCCTGGGGGTGTCCCAGTGTGGGTGTGGTGCGATTGGAGGGTGCAGAAGGCAGCAGGAGGAGGAGGCAACATCCCCATCCTATGGCCACAGAACCATCCCGGCTGTGACCCCACAGGTCACATCGTGCCATGAGCACCCCATGGTCTGTTCCACGCTCACCCCAACAAGAAAAGCTGGGAGTGACAAGGAGGAATGGCTTTAAATGTAAAGAGAGAAGATTTAAATGTGGTATTGGGAAGAAATTCTAGCCTGTGAGGGTGGTGAGGCCCTGGCACAGGTTGCCCAGAGAAGCTGTGGCTGCCCCTGGATCCCTGCAAGTGTCCAAGGCCAGGCTGGACGGGGCTTGGAGCAACCTGGGCTAGTGGAAGGTGTTCCTGCCCATGGCATAGGGGTTGGAACAAGTTTTATTTAGAAGGGACCTTAAACAGCATCCAGTCTGTGATTCTATGAAGTCCCCCTATTTCCCAGGAGAATTCTGACCAGATACAGAAACAGGGACTTTTCCATGTGCTCAGTGTCCACAGAATTGTTGTTAGAGCCAATCTTTCTGAGGAAAGGGAGCCTTTTTTGAGCTGTGCACAGGTACTGAGGGATTTCCTAACGCTGGGGTGTAGAAGACCCCTCTGCCCCAGCAGCTCCAGTGCTGATGTTGGAATCTGACACGTTGGGAGCCGCATCCAGCGCAGCTTCCACTGCGGGTTGTGGCGGGCTGTGCTTTGCCAACAGCTCCATGCACGGTGCACAAGGAAGATCCTGATCTGGCCCAAAAACAAAAAGCAAACCAGCCCAAAGCTATCTCCACAAACCAAGCCTGGAAATGCAGGAAGAATTCCCGCACCCTCTGCCAGCAGCGTCTGCCCTTCTCCTTGCCGGGGATAATTGCTCCGTCTACCAGCAAGCTGCTCCTGGCAGTGCTTGGCTGGGACATGGTGTCCCAGGGACCGGCTGCTTTCCTGGGGCTGTGAGCACTGGAACAGCCTCCAGGCATTTGCTCGCTGCCATTTCACGGGATTTGCTTTTGGAGAGGGGCAGGCAGGGTGTGGGATGAAACAGTCACTGGGGCTGGAGGCTGCTGGATGGTTTGCAAAATAATAGCTCTTAATAAGACACCCTAATATTTCATAGAAGCCTAGAATCCCAGGCTGGAAGGAACCTCAAGGGTCGTCTGGTCCAACCTTTCTTGGCGAAAACGTGGTCTAGACAAGATGGCCCAGCACCACATCCAGGCAAACCTTAGGAGTCCAGCGCTGGGGAAACCACCACTTCCCTGGGGAGGTTATTCCAATGGCTGATTGTTCTCATTGTGAAAAATTTTCCTCTTATGTCCAGTTGGAATCTCCCCAGGAATAACTTGTACCCAGGGCAGGGTGTGATTTTTTCCTAAAGGGTTCTTGCACACAAGCTTTTCCTGGAGGGAGAGAAAAAAAAAATTAATCAGATTAAAAAAATGAAAGTAATTGGAGTAATAGGGTGGGGGTGCACATAGGGCTGGGCATCAGCGAGCCCTGCACGTCCCCCAACAGCAGCTCTGCATCCTCATTTTTTTTAGAATGTGGGAGAGAGCAATGGTTTGGCTCAGCACAGCCAGAATGATTCCAGTTGTGCCTGGGGTTGGATCCACGGCGAGCTCCGGGAGAGGGACCTGACTCAACCAGTCACCAGCAGATCGTTTAGGAGTTTTATTTCTTTATTGGTGATTAATGGCAGTGTTTCGTTTCTAATGGAAGGAAATAGGGAGGAAATGGTTTCTTGCCTTCATTTGTCAGGGATTTGTTTAAACGGGCGCTCGCGTTCCCTGGAAATAAGTCACGGCTGCGTATTTTCAGGGACAAGAAGCTGGTCAGGCTGAGGCTGGATGTCAGATGTTTGGACAATGGAGCACTCCAGGTTTTCCTGTGCAAGGCTGTTCCCATTGCCTTCCCCATCCCATCCTCTCGGCCCCGTGCCAGGGACCCCCCGTGTCCTGCTACCGGCAGATAGAGCAAGAGGGTTTGCAATTCCCAGCTGGAGCAGTCTCGTCAGAGGCCCTGTGCTCTCCCTTGCATGGGAGATCAGCAGGTAATCAGGTGGAAATTAATCTTCCTGGCAAGGAGGGTGCAGCACCTCTGGGAGCTCTGTGCCCCCCTGAGGGGTTTCAGAGCTGGTGGTCACAGAATCACAGATTCACAGAATCGTTCAGGTTGAAAAAGCCCTCTGAGATCGAGTCCAACCGTTCCCCCAGCGCTGCCAAGCTCACCACTTATGTCCCCAAGTGCCACATCCACCCAGCTTTTTAATCCCTCCAGGAATGGGGACTCCACCACTGCCCTGGGCAGTCTGTACCAGTGCCTGAACACTCCTTCTGGGAAGAAACTTTCCTTAAAATCCAACCTAAACCTCCCCTACTGCTACTTGAGACTGTTTCCTCTTGTCCTGTCCTTTGTTCCCCAGGAGCAGAGCCCAACCCTCCCCGGCTCCCCCCTCCTGTCAGGGAGAGAAGGTCCCCCCTGAGCCTCCTTTTCTCCAGGCTGAGCCCCCCCAGCTCCCTCAGCTGCTCCTCAGTAGAACTGTGTTCCAGACCCTTCCTCAGCTCCATTCCCTTCTCTGGACACACAGAGCCACTGGCCACAGAGCTTTTAAAAGAAAAATCCTATTTTTGAGTGGAGTGAATGTGTTGCCCACAATTCCCCCTGCAAAACAGGGACTGGGAGAGGAGACAAGCCTGGGGCAGACAATGGCAAAGCCACTGTCCTGTGTCCTCACTGCTTCCAGGGCAGCAAAGCTGAGATGGGGTCACTGCTGCTGGACCGTTTGCCTCATGCCATGTGTTGGCCATGTGGTGGGAGACAGTGGGGTGATGTGGAAGGGTTTAATGGGGCTCCAACCCTCACTGATGCCCTGACTTTGTGCTTGGTCTGGCATTGAGAGAGAGTTTTAGGGGTAAATAAGGATGTCTGGTGTTTTACAAATACCAATTTCTGGTAGGTTTGTGCATTGAGGTTGAGATGTTTCCATGAGTTCAGAGCTTGGGGCTGGGGCACAGCACACCTGGGTCATGGGGTCACTTGGGGCTTCCCAAACCCCAGCAGACACGTGCTTTGATGTCCTGGAGACCTACAGGAGCCAAAAGCATTATTGATAACTGAGCTCTGAGCCATTTAAAGAAGCATTTGAAGCACTGAGAGGACTCAGCCTTGGAGAAGTTACTCATCTTCCTCTTCATCTGAAATAACACCACTCCTGGTGGCCGTCCTTCCCCAGCACCACCCTGCGCTCCCAGCCTGGCCAGGCAGCCTGGGGCCAAAAATCCTAGCAACAATGACATTGTTTTCTATATTTGCATCACTTAGGGCTGAGCAGAAGCGATGACACACCGTGGAGCTGGCAGTGGAGCCAGCACTGATGCCATCTGCAGAGAGCCGCCTCCTCACCGGCTTCGGTTACATTCTCTCAGCGGTTTGGTTTGTGCTGCCCCAGGGCTGGGCTTCAGCGTGCTCGTGGTGGGCACCACAGAGCCCAGGGTGGCCCCAAACTGGGGGATGCTCTTTGCATCTCACCAAGCTTGGGCGCAGGGATGTCACATCTCCCTGGGAGCACACTGTGTGCACAGGCTCCTTCCAGACATCCCGCCCTTCCCAGGAGCAGTTCCAGCAGCAAATGTTCCTGTGATTTTTTTTTTTAATTCTTTTTTTTTTTTTTTTAAATCTTTTTATCACAGGCTGCTTTTGATGTAGGAGACAAGGGCTCAGCTCTGCTCCATCTTCAGAGAGATGCAGCTCGGTGGCTTGCAAACCCTCTTAGTCTTTGTGCACCTGTGGGTGCTCGTGTTTTAAATGTTGATTTGGCTCTTTGTATTTTACTTAAAGTGCACTTGGGGACTCATGAGCTTGTGTGATCGGGTTGGCTGAGGGGAGAGAGCTTCTGGCTTCACAGGGAGGCTGGAAAACAGGCACGTGTCATTTCACAGAGTGGGATGGAGGAAGCCAAATCCTGCAGTCACCTCCCACCAGTCCCAGGAGATACCCTGCATCGTCCTTCCTCCAGAGCTGTGAGTTTGGCCCTTGGAGCAATGAATTTATGTTGGTTTTGTTTTTGGTTTTTTTTTTTTTTTTTTAAATGAATGATGGATTCTAAATATACGAATTCTGGGTTTTGTGTTTGGAGAGCACTTGTGCATGTCTGCAGCTCGAAACTTGGAGTGTAAAAATAACGTAAGAGCCAAGATTGCTGTGAGAGACTCCAGGAGAAGAGGCAGGCACGCCACACACCTACTCCCATGAAACCACTCACCCCCCACACAGGGGACATTGTGCAGCCCCAAAAAGGTTGTGGGGGCTGCATGTGCCGTGGGGATCCTGCACCGGTGGCTGTGGGAAAGGGGACAGCAATGGCAAAAACCAGCTGGGAGGGGGAATGAACCAGGAGGGGGGTCGGCTCTGTTAAACCACCGGGGTTGTGCTCAGCAGCTGCAACACCATTGGCAAAAGGAGAGCCTGAAAATCACTGACTGCTCCTTGCTGGAGTGGAAGGGGAGCTGGGCCAGACAAGGGGGAATTTCCTTACCTTGTACTTAGCACATGGTGAAGACTTGCAGATACTAAAACTAATCCCTGAAGCCAAGCCCATCCTGGCCCTCAGGGCCCTGGAGCAGGCAGCCCTGAGTCAAGGCAGCCCCAAAGGAGCCCATTTTCCTTTGACAGCACTTTTCTCATTCCTCAGTGCGGTGGTCCCCATGCTGGTCATGCCATTGGCTTGCTTTTCCTCTTTGCAGGTTTGCCCAGCAATGAGAAAAGTGACTTTGGGAAATGGGTTATCCCAAGGGGCTCCTCTTTTTCCCTTGAGCTGTGGGGTTTATTTTCCTCCCGAGCCCAGCACAGTGATGGGTTGATGGGGCAGCATTTCCCATGGCCACTTGCTGGAAGCAGAGGCCATCCCTGGTCCAGTGACATTCTAAACACCGTTGGGATTGGCTTTCCCACCCCACCAGGTCCGTGCCCAGCAGCGGAACCGCTCAGCATCCTCAGATTTGGGGTTGAGCAGGAACAGCGGCATCCCAGGGCAAAGGAGAAGGTTTCCTCGACAGCGGGTGTTTCTGCCACCTGGGCTGAGTGTGGGAGAGTCCTGCTGGCTCTGTGTTCGTTGGCAGTGGCTGTTGTGCCCCACGAGCACTGGGCTCAGTTATCGCTGCCAGTGTTTCACAAGAGGGTCCTTTTTCCGCTCCCTCGGCAGGGGCAGGAGCCAGGAGAAGCCTCCATGTCCGTGCCAGGGCTGAGTCACCCCGGTCGTGAGGAAAGGGGTGTGTGTGGGGGGGGGAAGGGGGGGGAGGGAATTAAACAGTCAATCATGCTTTCAGCAAGCCTGAAATCATCTGTGATATTTTTATTTTCAGATTCCCGGCCTCGATTTTTGTGGGAAGGTTGTTCCCGACGTCCCGACCGCAGTGACGCCACGCCAAGGGCAGCCCCGGCGCGCCGGTGCTGGGGGCGGTGAGTGAAGCCTGGCTCCGTCCCATCCGTCCCAGAGCTCCCCTCATCCCCACCCCACCAACTGGGGGCACATTTCAGAAGCCAATTTGCTTTGCAGCCCCTTGATCGCCCAGGGGAAGGAAAGCGCCTTTTCCACCCGGCCGCCGGCTCTTCCCTTTCATCCATGAACAGATCCAGGGGCTGCAGCACCTGAGAGCCCCCCAGGAGCCACCTGCCATGGCAGGGAATGGTGTGCAGATGAGGACTGTTGTTTGGGAAAGCCTGGGAATGGAAGGAGCCTGCTGGGATGGAGCAGCACAGAAGCCCCTGAGCTTGGGTGAGGAGATCAGAGCAAGCTGTGCCTTTATAAAAAAAAATACATAAAATACATAAAGCAATAAAAGTGGTTGGCTCTTGGTTGGAGAAGGATGAGATGTGGCATTTCCCCTTAGAGAATCTGTGGCTGACCTATTCCTGGAAGTGTTCAAGGCCAGGTTGGATGGGGCTTGGAACAACCTGGGATAGTGGAAGGTGTCCCTGCCCATGGCAGGGGGTGGAATGAGCTGAGCTTTTAGGTCCCTTCCAAACCAAACTATTCCATGATTCTAAGATTTCAGGAATGTGTTTTCTCCCAAACCCTGAAAGAGGAGAATTTTGAAAAGGTTGCTTTTTTCTGGGTTGTTTTCTTTATCTTTACCTCCTTAGTCTCTGGTTTCTGGCCCCAGGCACAGCCTGAACCCGCTTGGCCCAGGCCCAGCAAGAACAACTAAAGCAGCTTGATTTGGAGGGATGCTCAGGCACCCTGTCTGAGCTGGGAAACCGTCACCAACTCCTCAGGCTGGGGGAAAAAAAGGCAAAAACTGGTGGGGAAAAAAGCTTTACATCTCCCACAGAGGCCTTTGGTGTGAACAGCCATCAGCGATTCCGGGCTCGGAATCCAAACCGAAACCAACCGAGCAATCGCACACGTTCCTCCCTTGTGGAGCCAAGAGCTGTTCCTATCAGGGTATATATATTTGCTCTCTGATTAATATAGGAGTTTTTTGTTGGGTTTGTTGTTTTTTTGTTTTTTTTTTTTCCCCAGGGAAGAGAAATGGAGAAGCCGACAGCAGCACGTGAAGTATTTGGCAAACAATTTCTTTTGTGTTGGGCGTAGGTAGCGCTCGATGTATTTGCGAGCTATTTATAGCCCGATACTTTTATATCTCCCTCCACATAATGTTGCCACTTTTTTTGCAGCCTACCTGCAAAACAGAGCCACCCTCCGAAGCTGCAAAGACAGTCATTACACCGACTGACAGCCCGTTCTCCAAAGCTTTTTTTTTTTTTGGTGCAAAACCTCTTTGTGTTTTCCAGGGAATGGCTGGGCCACTGGGATGTGGTTGCACCCAGAGGAATAAGGTGTCCTGGAGCTGTAGGTGTGTGTTTGGTAACTCGTGGCAAATTTTTGGGTGGTTTAGAGATTTTCTTGGTGCCGGCGTCAAAATGGAGTGGTGGTGGCTTGGCTTCTCCCCCCAAGACAAAAAAGCACAGTAAAAATTTTGGGAAAGGGATCTACAATAAGTAAACCCTTTCAGTTTGGCCCCTCCAATTCAAACCATGCTGTGGTTCTATGATTTTTATTGGTTTGGATTCCTCCATTTGTTATCTAGAGCTAAATGTATCTCTTTAAAGGGAAAAAAAAAAAATCCCTTTTTTTTCTTTCAGTAGTGTTGGAACACTTTTGTGCCTGGTTGCAATTTTTTTTGGCTAAAAACACACCCGTGTTTTCCCAGTTCTCAAGCCTGAACTGTCCACCCCGGAGCTGCACAGGAACGTGCTGGGTTACCTTTTTTTTGGTTGTTTTTTTTTTTTTCTCTCGAGGGCTTCCCTGCCTCAAAGCAGAGGGTTAGTGGAGGTTTATCTGGGTTTCCTTTGTTCAGTGCTCACAAAAGACAAAGAGGAAGGAAACCCTCCATGGCCCGGCCTGATGCTCAGTTAAAAATAGCAGGGCTGGGGCTCCCAGACTGCCCCGAGGTCACTTCCCTGAGCCCCATCACTGCAGACGTGCCACAGATGGCCCATTTTGGCACATTTCTGGTGGTTTGGAGACAGGGAAGAGCCCGGAGGAAGGGGGGGGTGCTCATGGCCCTGCACAGCTTTGCTCAGGGCTGCACATGTGGTTTATTTTCTGTTCTGGTGACAACGTCCAGGGTCCCCTCCAAGAGGTCAGGATGTGACAGCTCTGCTGGGATCTCCACAGCTGGAGAGATGAAGCTGCAACATCCTGACTCCCTTCCTCCACCGCAGGGCAGTGCACAGGGCCCAGCCACCCAGTGCCTTTTAATTTTTTTTTTAATTTATTTTGAAAATTTTTTTAGCACTGTAACATTTTTTAATTTTTATTTTAAAATTTTTATATTCTAACTTTGCTCTTTGAAAAGTTTTTAAGCTTTCTTTTTAAATTAAGTATTTTTAAATTCTATTTATTTATTTGTTTATTTATTTGTGTGTGTTTGGTTTTTTTTTATTTGTCCCTGTGCAGCTCAGCTGCTGCCTGAGATCAGGGCACCCCCCAGGTCTCCACAGTGTGACCTTGGTGACTTGCAGGGGGAGATGGTGCAGGGCAGGGCACCAGCTCCAGTCCTGCCTTCAGCAACGGCTCAGTGTGGGCAGCCAATCTCCTAGGAAACTGTGGGAAGGACTCATGCAGACAGAACATTTCCCCCCCCCCCCCAGTTTCCCCTTTTCCCACCCTTCAGACCTGGGAATCAGCCTCAAAAAGAGATGACATGGTAAAAACCAGCTCCAGTGAATTATCCCACACGGCGTGTCGGGTGCTGATGTCCCCTTGGATTCCAAAGAGGCTGCTCAACACTGGGATGGGAATCCTGCTCCTGGTCCCACAGCACCCACCCCTCCACCGGCCCAAGGTGCAGGAGGGAGGAGGGATGAAGCTGCTTTGCACCACTGGTTTCATCTCCACCTCCCGTGGGCATTTTTGGCTTCAAAGCCCTGGTGATGTTTGTCCTCTGTCAAGGGAGGTGAGCAGCTGGAGAGGGCCGGTGCCTGGAGCTGTGATATCCTGCAATTCCTGCTTGGTAGGAGACAGGAAAGGGGCTGTGGATGTGAAAGAGAGAGGCAAACCCTGGTCATGCTGGTCCAGCACCGAGTGTGCCACCAGCCCTTCCCCTCCCCTTGGTGAACATCACATCTCCATGGAGAGCCGGAATCATTCCTTCTGCCTCATTAAAACCAGACGTTTTCCATTTGGGGCTTGTGCTTTTGCTGGAGGGAAACATGGAGTGAAATTTTGCCTGCAGTGAGAGGGCTGAATTAACTACCTCAAACATCAGCCCAGCCCCAGGTACGTGTAGGACTCTGTCTGGAGCCTCCTGTTGTGTTGTTTGTTTTCGCTGTTTCCTAAACTCCAGCAAAATCCCCAGAATGACATGCCACAAAGGCAGGGGGTTTTTTTTCCAGCAGGCATTTTGCATCAGGGAAAATCCCATCTGAGTGTCAGAGCGAGTGTCACGGTGTTCCCTCTTTGATGGATATTAATGTATTTTCCTGCCTTTGAAAGGGATTGGAATATAGTTTAAAAAAAATAATAATGGGCCAATATAGGTCTGGATTCATAAACAGAGGCTCCTAACTGTGCTGCTGGGGGAAAATGCTGGGGAGTTTGGAAATACCATCTTGGATCTTTGCTCGAATGCAGTTTGGGCAGCCATTCCAGATGTTGCACTCAGGAAAGCCCCATTTCCAGCTTGGTTGTGGACAGAGCTGTGGAAGGAAAGGCAGCCTCAAAACATGTGCTCCACAGCTGCTGCTGTAAATGTCTGGCATGGGGAATCCTGATTTTTTTGCAGCCATTTGCAGTGGGAGCAGAGCTGGAAAACGGGGCAACTGCCCTGTGCATCCACCACCTCCCACAGAAAAGCCTTGTCCAGAGAGACCATTCCTCCTCGTTTTCCCTAGAGGTAACATCCTGCCTGCCTCGAAATCCTCTGCTGGCCACGTGTTCCCAGGATCTCCATCTCTCTGCATTCATGGCTCCAGGTGGGCTCTGCAGCTTTGCAGCCCTGTGCTGCAAATCTTCACCCCCTGCATCCCGGTGGGATGCATGGCAGGGCTGGAGCTTCCCTGCCACCCGCATTTATGCTTTGAGAAGCCAAATCCCGATGGTAAACACACTCCTACACCACCTGGAGGTGCCCAGGGCAGCACAGGATGCACAGCCAAGGGTATATATTTCCAGGAAGGATGGAAACACCGGAGCTCTGGCCCTGAGCTTTGTGGCAGTGAGGATTGATGTTTGAGCCCTCGGGGAGCAGGACTGACCTGCAGCTGCTGAAAGTCCCGGCTGGGGGATTAGAAATAAACCCCTAAGTCTGGCTCCAAAAGGTCAGCTGGTGTGTAACATTTAGAAGAGCCTCAAAGTGTTATTTCACGAGTATTATTTTTTATTTCTCCCCAGGAAAGGCAAATATCTAAGCTGCCGTGGGAAAACAAAACAAAACAAAAAACAAACAAAAAAAGCCATTCCTGAGTCTCCCCTGTGGATGGGGATTTGCTGCCTGTGAACCGGGGTGTGCAGTGAGAGGAAGCCTGGCAGCGGCGTGGCAAATGGCAGTGGCACTGTCACCTCTAATTGATTAATGCCCTCGTGTGTGAGAGCCTCGGGGCCAGGGGAGGGTGTTGGAGCAGGACACGGGGCAGCTGCACATCACCCGCGTTGATTTAGGAAGGTGAGAGCTGTTGACAGAAGAGATTTGCACCTCCTGGTGCGGCATTAGCCGCTCCGTTCGGGGTGGTTAACCCTGAATTTGCTCTCCTTGTGCTCACAGCTCCTCTCCTGGGCGCCACCACCGCGGGTGTGCAGCCGTGGTGAGCTCAGGGGGTGGCAGAGATCCCCAAATCGGTGTAAAATGCACATCCGAGGGCTGGCTCCTGCATCCCTCACCCGCTCCTAACTCCCTCCTGAGATAAAGTTGACCTGAGCGAGGAGGGCAGATACGGACCCTAAACCACGTTGCCGCAGAAACAACGAGGATTAAATAGTTGACTGAAAGCCCTGTAGGTTTTTTCCCACCCTTGAAGCCCTAATTGCCGCTGACAGTCCCTAAACCCGTGGTCTGCCCGCGCCGCGTTATCCATCGGTACTTCGCGTGCCGGAGCCGAGCCGGAGCCTGGGGCTGGTTACCAGCACACAGCCTTGCTCTCTCAGCCTTTCCAGCAAACATAATTTTTTCCCCACTCCGAGGAACGAAGTGGAGACAAAAGATTAATCTTCCATGGACTGTAAAATCCTTGGGGTGAGGAGCGTGGCGTCGGTTCAGCGTCTCTGGCAGCCTCTCTGCTGACTCCGACAGACTCTGGGGCGGCTCCAGCCATCCCTCGCCCCCAGCCCGGGAGCGCAGCAGCGCAAATTTACAGCTTATGGGAGAATTATTCCCAATTTCCTTTCGTAGAAACAAGGTCAAAATCAAAACTGGCTGTGGACTTCCCTGCCTCGTACAGCGCTCACTCAGCGCTGGCTGGGTCCTGCTGTTCCTCCTGCACCGCAGCCACGGCTAAAAAACCTCCTCAGCAGCCTGGGAGGTGTTAAACTCGCTCCTTTCTTCTTTTTATGGCCTCTTAAGCTCGTCTACCTCCAAAAATTATTACCGTGGGGAAAGCCAAGATAAATAAGGAGGTTCGTCCTTTGCTTCGGGGTTGACCTGCTATAGAAGGGAATCCCCCAAACTCGGGGGGCTGCCAGGGATGGAGCCCCACTACCCCCCAGCTTGCTCCAGTGTTTGCAGAACCTTCGCTTGCAATATTGAAGGTGTTTTCACTCCAGTCCATTTTCCCTCACTGACTAATGTACAGCTCCCAGTCACTAATGGTTTTCACTGATTGCTTAATTATAGGTGGGGTGAATGGTGCTGCCTGTTACCAGGGCTGCCAGATGTTCCCTTTGTAACTGTTCTCCATTGCTCCCAACTTTGTCAAACTTTAACCTTTGGAGCTGCTAGAGTGGCTGCTTTGAGGGCAGTTCCCAAGTTTGGGGGATGATCTGTTGCATCAGGTCCTCCGTACCCCTTGTTGAGAGCACATTATGTTTTAATATTATCAGATCACAGCAATTCTCTCCAGGCACCTGGTGGAAATCTCTCTCATGAGGACAGGCTGAGGGAGCTGGGCCCGTTCAGCCTCAAGAGAGAAGAGTATCTGAAGGGGGGATGCCAAGAAGATGGAGCCAGTCTCAGTGGTGCCAAGCAATAGGACAAGAGGCAATGACAGAAGCTGATGCCCAGGAAGTTCTGCCTGAACATGAGGAAGAACTTTCCTGTGCAGTGACCGACCACTGAACAGAGACAAGAGAGGGTGTAGAGTCTCCCTCACTGGAGATATTCCAGAACCATCTGGACACACTCCTGTGCCATGTGCTCTGGATGACCCTGCTTGAGCAGGGAGGCTGGACCAGATGACCCTCTGTGGTCCCTTTCAACCTGAACCATTCTGGGGTTCAGTGGATGGCTCAGCCCTGCGGCCCAGGGAGCCCTGGGGCAGACCCTGGCTGAGGGCAGCACTATTGCCCGGGGGCTCAGCAGCAGAAACACCACTTTTGCCCCCAAAATGCTCATGAGAGGCAGACGAATACAACGACAGAACTTGAAGAGAGGCGGGACCACAGGGCTGGGAGCTGTGCTTCCTGCAGGAGGGCCTGGGCTGCAGCTCCAGAGCACCCCTGTGCCTCCCACGCCGTCAGCTGCGGTGAACCGAAGAAAGAATGAGTTTATCAAATTAAAAAAAAAAATGAACCTGCACTTCCTTCAGGACCTCTGCTCCTTGTGGGAGCTGCAAAACACTTTCTATAAATGAATCTACATGGCAATAAACAAGCCAGAGCTCCTCCCCGAGATGTCTGCTGTCACTTCCTCGTGCTCGCCGCTGCCTCCGGGTTCTGCTTTGGGGACGTTTCCGTAGAACTTGGGTTTCTCACCCCCCCAAGCTGTCTCGCCTCCCCCCTCTCAGCTGGAGAGCAGTGCCAGTCACCATCAGCCACAGGCTTCTTCAGTAACAGTGGGAAAACTGGAAGTACCTGAAAAGTCAGAAGTTGGTGTTCAGATGGGGACTGTCTTTGGGAGCAGGTTTGAGCTGGGTCACGGAAAAACGGCTGGATGAGGAGCCGGGTTAGGTGCACCATGTGGAAAAGTCCTGCAGATGTGGGTGGTGGTGGTGGTTACCCTCGGCTGTGTTGTACAGGGGATTGTTGGTGCAACTCTCCTTCTCCAGATCAGGGTAACTCCTCACGGTGCTGCTGCACGGGGGAGCTGCTAGAAACAGTCATTGTGCTTCTAGGAAACAGTGAATTAAGTAACCTGTTGCAATAAGTGTTGCAAAAGATGATGTAAAGCCCTTGTGTGGTGTAATAGGGCAGCAAGAGGGGTCGAGGCCAGTCCTGCTGTGTTGAATCCTTGCAAAAACACGAGTGCCTCCAGAATGAGCCCCTTCCTTGAATACAGATGTTCTGCCTTCTGCATGGGGATGAGAAGCACTAAGCAGTGAGAGGCGTGAAGTCCCAGGATGTCCAAGACATGCACAGTGAGGCTGGTGGTGCTCAGCTTTTACCCCACATGAGGTGCTTTGGTTCCTTCCTCCATCTCCCTGCAGGGACATTTTACATTTCATGTTTCCAAAGCCAAAGGCAGCCCAGCACAGCTGCCTCTCTCCAGACTCGGGGCATTGATGGGAACAGTGTTGCTGGTTTTCACAGGTGTCAGGCAGGGATTTGTAATTCCAGGGCTCCTGCTGTCATCATACAGTGCCCCTGATCCCACCAAGGTCCATGAACATGGAACTGCTCTGCTTCCAGCAGGGTGGGATGAGCGGGGATGGGGCATGCTCATCCCCAGCTGGAAGTGGGGTGATGGAGGGGACCCAGAGAGCATCACTCTCTGGCCCCCTTAAGCCCCCCAGCTGAGCTGCACCCACACACCTTTCCCACCTCCTTCTATTGCTCCTAATATTATTTATATTATTTTTGTGATGGAAACATTACCTCTTTTCTTAACAGCTATTTCCTCTGGACTGTTTCCACTGCCCACAAACCTGCCTGCTTCTCAGCCTGCAAATCTGCTGGAACTCCAACAGGCTGAGAGAGCTGGGGTTGTTCAGCCTGGAGAGGGGAAGACTCTGGGGAGACCTCAGAGCCCCTTCCAGTGCCTAAAGGGGCTCCAAGAGAGCTGGAGAGGGACTTTGGACAAGAGCCTGGAGTGACAGGACAAGGAGGATGGCTTTAAACTGAAGGAGGGGAGATTTAGATTAGATACGAGGAAGAAATTCTCCCCTGTGAGGGTGGGGAGGCCCTGGCGCAGGTTGCCCAGAGCAGCTGTGGCTACCCCATCCCTGGAAGTGTCCCAGGCCAGGTTGGACGGGGTTGGAGCAGCCTGGGCTAGTGGAAGGGGGATGGAACCAGATGAGCTTTAATGTCCCTTCCAGACCTTGTCAGAGGGGACGGTGCCGCATCCCAAGGGTCCCGGCTCTGCCCCGCACCGCGGTCCCGGTCGTGCCGGGGGGGCGGCGCTGGGCGCGGGGCCCCGGGGGAGGCGGGGATGGGGCGGGGCGGTACCGGGGGAGGCGGGGCGGTACCGGGGGAGGCGGGGCGGTACCGGGGGAGGCGGGGCGGTACCGGGGGAGGCGGGGCGGTACCGGGGGAGGCGGGGATGGGGCGGGGTGGTACCGGGGGAGGCGGGCCCGCGCCGGGCGGGCGGAGAGGTGCCGAGGCGGTGCCGAGGCAGCGCCGTGCGAGCGGCGCTCCGTGTGCCTCGGTGCGCCCCCGGCCAGCACCGCCCGGGCCGGGGCATGGAGGCGGCCCACAGCCTCCCGGTGCTCGACGTGCTCCGCCGCTTCGGGGTCAGCGAGAGCTGCGGGCTCAGCCCCGAGCAGGTCCGCCGCCACCGCGAGAAGTACGGCCCCAATGGTCAGTGCGGAGGGACGGGAGCGCGGGGGGATGCGGGATGGGGCAGGGCTAGCGGGACACCGGCATCTCCAACGGGACTCCGGCATCCCGGCTGGAACCCTCCGTCGGGATCATCCCCGCCCATACCGGCACTGGGACCCTCCCCGCCGCGACCGGGATCGGGATGTGTTCGGGAGCCTCCCCGCCAACACCGGGAAGGTCCGGGGTGCTGTCCTGGGTCCCCCCCGGCGTGTCCCCCCACCCTGCCCCGGGCGTGCGGAGGATCGGTGGGGATGTGCCGCGGGACACCTGTTGATTAGGGCAATATTTGTTGGCTTTAATCAAAGGCTAATTACTGCGGGTACGGGCGGCCCGGGGCGCCGGCAATTAGAGCGGGGTGTTAATTCCGCTGGCGGAGTGTCTGAAGGCGGGGAGGGACAGCGCTATGTCGCCAGGAAGGAGAGGGGGAAGGTCCCATTGCCTGTGCGTGACAGAGGGAAACCCCGAAAGCGGGGTGACGGGTGTTGTAGTGGGGGAACCCCGCTCTCGGCTCGCCGCGGCTCTGCACGGGCTGCGGGTACTGCTGTGGAAGAGGAAGGGGGGCGGAGGTGCGTGGGGTGACAGGCCATGTGCTGGCCTGGCTGCGTGTCACACTGACCCGGGGGACCCTCTGCGGCCAGCTGGGCATCTTCGTGGGATGGGGAAGGGAAATTTTTAACTTGTGTTTTGTGAGCGTTCAGTGTAGCCGGGGTGTCTGAACCTACGCAGGTGATTTCAGGGTGACTCTCATAGTTCAGGCTGTGACCGAGGTCGGTCGTTAACTCTGAACACGGAAACAGGAGGGTTTAGGGTGAGTTTGCTCCAGTGCTTCGGAGTAGCAAGTCATTTCTTGAACTCGTGCAAGGAGATAAGTGTGTAAACTCTCTCCTGGGTTGGAGCTTGTTGCATTTGCTTTTTGCTTGATCCTCATGGATGAGGCTAAGGAAAGCCTGAGTAGATGCTGGCAGGATTGCTGTCGGCATCTCTGTTCCCTGGGAGGGCCGTGTTGGGTGGGATCAGAGGGCTGCGACCCCTCCAGACGAGCCCGGCGAGCAGCCGTTCTGTGCTGGGCTGTGCTCGGGTCCCCCATCCCCCCAGTGCTCCCTGTACCAGGCAGCTTCAGCTCCATCCCCTGGTCAGGGCTGGGCTTGGGAGCTCTTGCCATGGAGCACTGGAACAAGGTGTAAGCAGTGGAGCATCACACCTGGCTCTGTTTGCCCTCATTTTGGAGAAGGGCAGCTGTGTGGTTAACTGGGAGGGGAGGGAACCCTCTGCTTCGGGAGCTGAAGGCAAAACACATCCTCAGTGCAACATCCTTATCAAACAGGTGCTTGGGCTGATTTCAGGGTATAATTGCTCCCGATTTCTGTGCTGTCCCCTGGCCCCCCGGGAAGCTGTGGGTGATGGGTGTTCTGTGCTGTGCAGCTGCGTGGCACTGATGGGGCATCGCTGCCGTGGGGCTCCTGTTTGCCCGAGTGAATCATCGTCCCTGAGTCAGGCACGGTGGCTGCTCGGTGGCACCGGGCTCTGCCTTGGAAAAGGTACCTCGAAGGTGTGACGTAGGTGCAGAGCAAAGGGTTAGTGGTGGCAATTAGTTTGCCTTTTTACTCTTTTCCTTCTTCCTTCCTCCTCTTGCAAGCAATGGCTCTGTGCTGGCCTGGCTCGGCACTGCTCCTTCCCATCCAGCCCAGCGTTGGGTTTCTCACAGGCTCTTGGTTCTCAAGAGCTTCTGACTTTGGGATGTCCCATGGCTTTTGCCTTCCAAGCAGAGCTCTGCATCTCCTGTGCAGCACAGCTCACAGTGATGTGCCTGGGCGTTGGAGACACTGCCCATGCCACTGTTCCCATCAGTGAAATATAGTTGACGATTTTTAAAAATTCTGAATTTTTTGCAATTTCTGAGCGGTATTTAGATTTTTCTCATGGTGCAGATGAGACATGGACAGGTTAGAACAGCTTAAACCCGTGCAGAATGGGGGTGAGAACTCGCAGGCTGTGTTGTGGCAGCAGGCACTGAGCTCCTCGGCTGTGCTCGGGTGCCCCGTTTGGGAGAGCTGCTCTGGGGGAGGGTGCTGGGCTTGGAGATAGCCTGTATTGAACTGCATTTTAGTTTAGGCTTAAATTAAACTCTGTCAGCAGAAGTGTGGGGCAGTTTGGTGACTCGCTTGAGCTCGCACAGGAGGGGAAGAAAACTCAAATCTTGCGTGGCTCGAAGCGCAGAGCAGACCTTCAGCTCCAGCTACTTTCATTTTCGCACCCTTGTGTCTCACATTCATTCATTTCCTTCTAAACCTGAACTCCAACTGCCAGTGTGGTCGTGAATCACAATCTAAAATACATCATCTTGCTGAAAAACTGCCTCCTGACACACTTCAGAGAGCTGCTGGCTGCTGCTTTTTTATTGCATTAAAAAAAATATGAGCTGCAACGAGCTCTGACGTTAAGTGAGAAGCAGCAGCCACTGGTGTGCCTTATATAAAAAAAAAAATTTTTTTTTTTGAGGGGGTATTCTTTTGGAACCTAAATTTTTTTTTTTTTTCAGTTCCATTGCCCACATATACATTTGCAGGAGGAAACAGAGAGCAATACTGATTATTTAGTATCTCCAGTTTGTGGCTTGGGAGCCAGGCAATGCAGTACAGATTAGTGGAGTGGAAGAAGATATTTCTCCATTAGGAAGAGCTCGTGTTCTCCTTTTAGCTCTGTCATCAGTGCTGTCAGCATGGCCTTTCATTTGCCAAGGAAACTGGAGAAGCCACAGAACATTTAGGTCTCACCACGGCGATTCTGAATCTCCAAAGCCATTTTTAATTAATAAATGCTTTGGATGTTCCACAAGTACCAAGCGGGTCCTTCCCTATACCTCCTCCCATCCGCAAGCTCCGAGCTCTACAGGTGGCTTTTAGACCACAAAACTTAAAAAAACCCCCAAAACAACCAAACAAACAGCAATAACCAAATGCACATTTGTTATTTTATATTAGACTGAGCTGGAGGATATAGGGGTGCAAACATTTTTCTTCCTAAATGTAAAACCAGGGACACAATTTCCCCTGGAATGATTTCAGTTTTGCCAAGGAATGACAGATGTAAACAGGAGCTGCCTCGCGGACAGCCAAGTGATTTTTCTGTTTTAAATATAGCTCTGATTTCTCTCTTCTAAATGGATTTCTGAGTGTAAATGAGCATACATTTCAGGCAGGATATTGCCAGCGTTAATGCATATGCATAATTTTATTTGCTTCACCCGTAACCTAAATGGGCTGTGAATGTCAGTGGAGTCAAACTGGGAGGCTGCAGCATAGGGGTGTTTATCTCCTCTTGCATTTCATCTCTTCTGGCTCTGGAGCAGAGGCCCTGCTGCCGGCTGGGGTTGGAAACGCTGCTGGGCAGGATCAGACCCTGCCCATCCACCCTCCTCGGGGGCTCCCCCATCCTCTCCTTTACCCTCTCTGCTCCAGGGGCTGACCCCCCAAGCTCTGCAAACCCTCCTGTACCCTGTTGCAAGGCGCAGTGGTGACAGTATTCACGGCATGACTGGTTTAGGCGTTGTTCAAACCAGCTTCGGCACCGGATGAACTCAAAGCCCATGTGCAAATTTGCTTGTCTTTTATGACACCCCTCCCTACGTCTCCATAAGCCTTATTTCAGGATCCCCCAGCCCTTGTGTGTATTTTTCCATCTGCGTGCCCCAGCCTGCCTGGGCGGGGGTGGGAGAAGGAGACCTCCCCAAGCCCAAATCCAGGCTGGGATGTGCTGCTGCTCTCCCAAAACCCCACCAAGGCTCATTCTCGAGGGAGCTTTTTGCTCTTCTGCATCCGAGCCCCTGCTTGGCTAGAAAAATCACCGGTATTTTGTTACTGTTATATTTATTTGCATCCTTTCCCAGCCCGTCCCAGGGCTGCACATCCCTCAGCACACACACGTGTGCACACCCGTGTTCCCGCGCGTACTCCGGCGGCGGAGCAGGGCTTGACGTCGGAGGAGCTGCCGGCGGTTGCTAACGAGCCAAGGTTACGCTCCAGCTCTCTCCTGACAATAATAAAGAAGAAAATAAAATTTCTATTTCACGCTGAAATATTTAAGATGCCAGCAAGGAGAGGAAAGGCAGCGTTTTCTGACTCATCGGACTCTGCGCTCTGTTCCTCTGCGCATCGCCCACCTTTTCCACCCCCGAAACACACGCTGAACAGTCTGATTCATAAACATGCTACGGGTTGTGGGGCTTTTTTTTTTTTTTTTTTCCTCCTCCAAATCCTTTCCCTCAGGAGAAAATGCTGAGGCATTCAAACCTTGTGAGTGCCTTCAAATCTGGGGAGAGACTACACAAAGTTTTCCTAACCGACGAGAGGGAACTCGGGATTTTCATCCCTGCGTCGTCCTCTGAGGTTATCTGCATTCACACCCACCTTTAAAAAAATTGTGAATAGAGAGGAATATTCAAAAAAATTGATATCTGCTCTCAACATGTTGCAGGAACCAGGGAAGGAAGGTTTCCAGGACAAGGAGAGGCAGAGGCTGTGCTGTAGGTGAAGGGATTTTGCTTGCCCTGTTTCCCCCTGGGGTTGGCCTTTCTGTGGCACAAGTGTTATTTCATGAATATTTTTATTTCATTGCTGGTTTTAAAGCTGGAGATGGTAGAGTTGGTGCTACAAAACACTGATTTAAGAGGAGCTGGATGCGCTGTGGATGCCCAGATGTTGGCTTGGGATGTGCTGCTTCCAGTAAGGGGCTGGAGCCAGTCCTCCAAATACACCATTAGCAGCAAACTATCCCCCTTCTCCCAGGCTAATCCTCTCCCCCAGTAACTAAGGTGTCTCTTTTGAGCTCCCTACTCCAGCCAAGCCATCCTAGTGCCATCCTTGCCATCACCACATAGCCACACATCTGCCTTTTGCCATTTTAGTGCTGTTGGTCTTTCTGCATGTCTTAAGCCTTTTCTTATCTCTGGATCTTATTTGAAGCTCTTGAATCCCACTCTG